CTCTCCCCCTCCCCCTCCCCATTAAGAATGACCGGTCCCTAAGGTTGGATATTTCAGAGCATTTGTCTTTGGGGCGCTACCTTTGTCTGTTTTTGTAAATTCTATGGGTCATGAGGAAAGAACTCACCCTTTGATAACCTGGTCCACCATACCTGGTAAAAAGAACGTTAACAAATGGTAAAATAATTGATCATGATCAAAACAATGACAACAGGAATACCAACAACAGCAGCAACAACAACAACAGCAACAGCAGCAGCAGCAACAACAGCAGCAACAGCAGCAGCAACAACAGCAACAGCAGCAACAACAGCAACAGCAGCAACAACAACAGTAACATCAACAGCAGAACGGAGAACGAAGGAAAATAGAAGAGATAAGAAGAAATGAAATGATCTAAAAATAATATAAATAAACCGATCAAGAAATAAACAAAAGCCCAAACGCCAATAAATACGAGCAGGTTAAACATGTTAATAAAGTTAATGCATGCATCTAGTTATGTGGAAGAACTCACACATCAAATAGAACACCGTATTTCTTGGAAGGATCAAAGTCAGGCGGTAGAATCTCTATTCCATCGATAGCTGCCAGGAGAAAAACACAAATAAATGCATCAATACTAGTTCGATGTATCTTGTAGAAATACTCTAAGTACGAGAACACCATGGGCGGATCAAGGATTTGAAAGGGTGCGGGGTGGTGGGGGGTAGAGTTGGGGGTGAGTGCGTGGGCGGGTGGGAAAGCATGATCACTATAGGGGGTGAAACACAATTTTATCGTTCTTGGATATATCTGCGCAAATATATTTAAAAAAAACTAGTTACAGAAAATGATCTATTAGGATGGTGGTTAAGACGTCATGGCAAGAATATACAAAGAATTAATCTTACTGTATCCATCCGAAGTAAAGTTGAAGTTTCTTTTGATGGGAACCATTAGTGATTTCATGCGTTCAATAAGCCGTTCGTTAGACCTTAGAATCTCGACTAAAAAACAAAAAAAATGTTATTCATATCACCAAAAGACATGCGAGAACTGGTGGGGTCTTCACGAAACATGTCCAGATGTCTTAAGGCCGGTTCAGACGGTACGACTTTCGCCTACAACTATCGTATACAACACACTCGCGCCACCCTACAACTCGAGTCGTAGCATGTAAATCAAGCCTACAACTCGCATACGACAGACGCGAGCATGCTGTATACGTTAGTTGTAGGGAAAAATCGTATCGTCTAAACCGGCCTTTAGACAACCATAGAATGTTGACCACAGGTAGCCCAAGCACTGTTCGTAGTGTATGGGATTTCTACTGGTGTTTATAACGCTCTATACTCACCTGTGTTGGTCACAGTATTATGTCTTGAGACTATAGGTACTCCAGGACCTAAGGAAAGATTCTAAAATTTATTAACTAATTAATGTGACTTGGCCCGTGAGACCACGAAACAAAGCGCGTTATTTTTATTATTTGCAAGGGCGAGTGAAGATGTGTAAGTGTATGTGTACGTGTATGTGTACGTGTATGTGTACGTGTATGTGTACGTGTATGTGT